AAGCCACACAGTGGGAGAACAAAGACGACACATTCCTGAATGAGCGCCGCAGCTCCCCTATATACACCACGCCCACTTCAAGAACCGGAACTTCTCACCTGGAAACTATTTGTGTGGAATTAGGTATATTTCTATATCACTACACACATATGAAAAATTTGCCAACATTTTATTTTGCTGTTGARTTTCTGGTACCCCAGGTGCTGTCAATCAGGTACCCCGATTTATTGCCGTGAAACAAAAATAATCTAACAATTCCTTTTTTTGTGCTGAATTTAGTTTGTAATTTGAATGATTTTGTTTCACTACTCAACATTTATCTTTTTCAATGAGCAAGCTCAGTCCTCGTAACTCAAAAATCACTAAAAACAACCTGAAAAGTCAGTTTTTATTTTGTTTTTGGAAAATATAAATGTGAAAAAGCTAATTTCCCACAAGTCTTTTGAATTTTTGATTATTTTAATAATTCTATGATGTTTTTCTCTTTAGTTAAGTGTCAAATTTTATATATTTGCAGAAAATATTTCCATTGTTCTTAGTTTTTCCATGTTTTAGGTCAAAGTTGATGGAAAACAAAACAGGTCAAATGTCAAGTATGATAAAGAGAAGTGAACTGGACTTGTATTTCTATTGTTTTGTGAAGTTTTAAACCTCTRTACCTGTAGACATTTGTGCCACAATTAGAAAATTTAACACAGATTGGCCAAACAAATTATTTTAAAAAGGATGCACTTTAAGGTGGTGGCTTATGAAGCTGAGATCTCACAGCGGGGTCACAAAAGAAGAAAACCTTCAGATGATTTACAGACAACAAAAGGTAAAGTTAAAAACTGCTTAAACAGCACATTTTCACCACAGAAGTTAAAAACAATCATAAATGGATAAAAACTAAAATCACCACTGATGCTGTTTTTGTTGTAATGTCATTGTTAAGTTTCCTTTTTAGAAACTTTCATACATCAAGCACTTATTGGGGTTCATGTGTGTCAGAACCTGGAATATTTGTGAATCCTCTCACACTGAACAGGCCCACTGGATTCATCAGGGTGGTTCAAGGAGTGACGCATCATTTTCATCCAGTCTGCACCCTGTCTGCTCTGAGCACATTCAGAACGAAACGTCTGCGGTGTTTCAGCTCGTTGCTTGTCAAATTCATGTTCAAATGATGGATTCCAAAGTCAGAACAAAGACGGTGTGTGTGTGAAAGGAAAGATTTTGTTGAGTTGGGCCTGTATAAAGTGACTGCGGGGTCACAGCCTCAACAGTTAACGGCCAAACGACTGTGACAAATGTGACCTTTGTCCTGTGCAAACAGCGGCAGGCTGGAAATGAACACAGGCTTCCTGTCACCACGCTGGATGGGAGGAAATGTAGGAAACAGAATTTACACACACATATGGTATGTACGAAACATTGCTGCGCACCAGCGGATGTCAGAATCTGTCTGCAGACTAAAACATTTACATTAAGGTGGGAGGTCAGCGCCCCTGAGTCCAGAACACCTTTTAAATTTTATTGCTTGTTTTATACCAGGTGATGACAGAGATGCAACTGAGATTAGCAGCTTTAAACTGAGTTTAAACTAAGACTCTCAAAGACAGATGTTAAMATTTGTTTCTGTAACGTGAAAACAAACCTGTTAAAAGTTTTCTGAAGSAATGACAATTTGTTGTGATTGACTTATTAGAGAGGGTCAAATAATAAAGTGGATAAGAAACCACTTAAGAAAAGTTAGTTTATTTAACATAAATTTATAAAATTTCATTCTAAAAAAGTTTTTTTTCAAGTTCAATTCATCTCCATGTCTTGTATTTTACGCTTTCCATGTTCTTCATTTGACAGTTAACACTTGTCCTACAGTGGCACCTTGTGGCTATTGTGTGTATATACACATAATAAAAACATTTTATTTATTTTATTTATGTTTTGATGCTTCTTGGTAATAACTCTTAGGTAAATCCTATTTATTTCCCTTTACATGAGCAGCTGTCTGAGTTTCTTCATTAAAAAACAAAAAATCTTCTTGACCAAACAGCTTATTTTGCTAATGATCGTCAAGAGTTAATTTTATTTTTTCAGGCATTATTAATCTTTCCTTTCAAAATCAAATACACTAAACACTAAAAACAAGACGGAATTAATGCAGACAATAGATAATCTTTGAGTTCCTGTCAATGGCAAAAACAAAAGACCAAAAAAAAAGAGGTAGATATCCCAGATGCCTTATTGTCAGCACCTGTAAAYAACCAGTAATCCTATATATCTACAGTCTGGGAGTAAAGTGTATTCTCCAAGATGACAACACAGAATGGAGTTTATCAGAGCCTACATTTAGAATTCTGTTGTGGAGAAGATGGAATGAAATGACCTGCAGTCTTGACCTGAACCCCAGTGAACATCTGTGGGATCAGCTCAGGCTTGAGGAGGAGGTGCCAGGCTGTTGTGGCTGTATATGGTTCTTCCACATGCTACCAAGGCCCCTGTTTGTTGAGTCAGTGAGSAGTTACACTGCACATAATGTCTTGTTTCTTCAGGTTCTAAATATTTAATCCAAGAAACACAAAGAGTCGAAAACAATTTAAGCTGTTTGGCATTGGCAGAAAATAATTGGCAAGATTTTCAGTAGCGCAACCCACATTTAAGGGGAAATAATCAGATTTTATTACCAAAAGGTTTTGGTACAACAAATATATACGGAAGTGGATTAGTACCACTGAAAAAAAGTTCTTACTTTAATCTGAGAATTCTGATTTTTTTTCTCCCTCAGAATTCTGATTAGATTAATTCTGA